AAAACGTCAGCTTTCCTGCTCCTCTGATGCTGCTTGGCCTGCTGTGTTCATCCAGCTCTGCACCTTATGTCCATCAGTTGTTGAGCAACTGAAATTTGATTAGAAGAGTGCAAATATCTGAGGGTTTTGGCACTGGAACTGATTAGAGATTGGGAGACTGAGGCCAAGGAGGGATTTACCACCTGGGATAAGAATTCTTTTAAAATCAAGGTGTTGCTGGACCAGCAGCCTATTCAATAAACTTGGGGTGATGGATGGTTGTGACTTGAGAGGTGAGATATATGAGCAACAGAATTTTGCATCAAACTAGAAAGGACAGACGAGCTGAGTCCTACCTCTCGTTCTGTGGTCTCGATATTGTGATCGCTGTGCTGGTGTAGAAGGGTGAAGGCAGTCTTTTCTCTCCCCTCTGCATCATGGATAACTGACTGAAATCAGAATCAGCTATGAGAAATTCATAATCTTGTGCTACCCAAGAGGTATTGACTACTTGGACAAGATACTGGAGGGTGCCTGTAAATCCTGATTGCAAAGTGATTTAATGAACACAGGGACAAAAGAGGTACCTTTAACCGTAAGCACGTAAGAAATGGCATGGCAAGAACACTCCCTATCGCCCTCCCCTCCCAACTGCGCTGATATGGTTTGTGGAGCTGGAGGAGCACAGCAGGTCTGACGCAGCATCTGCAGTCCTTTCTATTTGCTATCGATTTAAAAAAAACTGCGAAGCCTCTTCCAAGGATGCCCACCTTGAAGAAGTTTTCCTCCCTCCAAAGAGAACTGTGGGTCTCTCTCCCACTGCAACCCCCTGGTTATCTCCTCCACCCTGAAGCTCTTCGACCACATCCTGAAACAAACCCACTAAGACAGCCATGTCTCCTTTTTAATACCTGCCTACGCAGCCAGCAGGTTTCCCCCCCACCCACCCCTCCAAAAAGTCCCAATGAAGGGTCCAGACCCAAAACATCTGCTCCTCAGATGGTGTGTGACCTGCTTATCGACTGTGTGCTGATGTGGTTGCCGTTATTGCATTTAGAGTTCACCATCTGTCGTGGTGGGGTTCAAACTCATCCCCAGAATGTTAGCCTGGTATTTTGAATTACTAATTATTTAAAATTCATGGGCATGTGCTTCCTGTCCATATGGGTGTATTTCATGTTTGTTACATTCAATAGGACATTGTGTTATCACAGTTTCCTTTAAATTTGTGTCAACTGTCAGGGTGTTCGTTGCTGTAGCCATGTACGATAGCTTTCTGAAGTCTTACTCCCAGTTGTTGCTGACAACTTGCATATTAAAATGAAGCTTTACTTATTATTGACAAGCCAGCATCAACAGCTTGTAACCAATATATTCTTGTGTTTCTAGTTGCCGAATTTCTTTTTGAAGCCGCACGATTATGGGATGTACTCTCCAAATGTAGAATTCATCAGCCAGTTTCCAAGGATAAAAACAAGGTGTGTACCGGCTTGTTGAAAGATATGTAATGTGGGTATTATCGAAAACTATTGATCCTGCATGTCCTATTGCCTTTTAGCTGTCTTTTTAAAAATTATTAAATGAGATGGGTAACTAAGGGTGGGCAACACATCAGAAAGTAGTTGCAGAGATAGTAGGAACTGCCGATGCTGGAGAATCTGAGACAACAAGGTGTAGAGCTGGATGAACACAGCAGGCCGAGCAGGAAACCTAACGTTTCCGGTCTAGACCCTTCTTCAGAAATGGGGGAGGGAAAGGGGATTCTGAAATAAATAGGGAGAAAGGGGGAGGCGGATAGAAGACTGATAAAGGAGAAGATAGGTGGAGAGGAGACAGACAAGTCAAGGAGGTGGGGTTGGAGCCAGTGAAGGTGAGTGTAGGTGGGGAGTGAGGGAGGGGATAGGTCGGTCCAGAGAGGACGGACAGGTCAAGGAGGCGGGATGAGGCGAGTAGGTAGGAGATGGGGGTGGGGCTTGAGGTGGGAGGAGTGGATAGGTGGGAGGACAGGTTAGGGAGGCGGGTATGAGCTGGGCTGGTTTTGGGATGCGGATGGGGGAGGGGAGATTTTGAAGCTTATGAAGTCACATTGATACCATTGGGCTGCAAGTTTCCCAAGCGAAATGAGGTGCTGTTCCTGCAACCTTCGGGTGGCATCGTGGCACTGCAGGAGGCCCAGGATGGACATGTCATCCAAGGAGTGGGAGGGGGAGTTGAAATGGTTTGCGACTGGGAGGTGCAGTTGTTTGGTGCGAACCGAGCGTAGGCGTTCCACAAAGCGGTCCCCAAGCCTCCGCTTGGTTTTCCCAATGTAGAGGAGGCCACAAAGGGAACAGCGGATACAGTGATACCACATTAGCAGATGTGCAGGTGAACATCTGTTTGATGTGGAAGGTCTTCTTAGGGCCTGGGATGGGGGTGAGGGGGGAGGTGTAGGGGCAGTTGTAACACTTCCTGCTGATGGGGAGTGTGGAGCGGACAAGGGAGTCATGGAGAGAGTGGTTCCTCCGGAAAGCAGATAAGGGTGGGGAGGGAAAAATGTCTTTGGTAGTGGGGTCGGATTGCAGATGGCGGAAGTATCGGAGAATGATGCATTGGATCCGGAGGTTGGTGGGGTGGTACGTGAGGATGAGGGGGATTCTGTTTTGGTTATTATTGCGGGGAGGGGCTGTGAGGTATAAGATGCGGGAAATGCGAGAGACACGGTCGAGGGCATTTTCAGCCGCTGTGGAGGGGAAGTTGCGGTCCTTGAAAAACGAGGACATCTGCGATGTCTGGGAGCGGAATGCCTCATCTCAGAAGCAGAGGCAAAGGAATTGGGAATCGGGGACGGCTTTCTTTTTTTTTTGCAGGAGGGTGGGTGAGAGGAGGTGTACTCTGGGTAGCTGTGGGAGTAGGTAGGCTTGAAATGGATATCGGTTTCCAGGTGGTTGCCAGAGATGGAAACAGAGGTCCAGGAAGAGGAGAGAGAGGTATTGGAGATGGTCCAGGTGAAGTTAAGGTTGGGGTGGAAGGTGTTAGTGAAGTGGATGAACTGTTCGAGCTCCTCGTGGGAGCACAAGGCAGCGCCGATACTGTCATCGATGTAATGGAGGAAGAGGTGGGGGGTAGGGCCAGTGTAGCTTTGGAGGAGGGGTTGTTCCACGTATCCTACAATACCATGTCTCGACTGTGTCTCTCGCATTTCCTGCAACTCATCCCACACACCCCCTCCCCGCAATAATAACCAAAACAGAATCCCCCTCGTCCTCACGTACCACCCCACCAACCTCCGGATCCAACACATCATCCTCCGACACTTCCGCCATCTGCAATCCGACCCCACCACCAAAGACATTTTTCCCTCCCCACCCTTATCTGCTTTCCAGAGGGACCAATCTCTCCTTGACTCCCTTGTCCGCTCCACACTCCCCACCAGCAGGAAGTGCTACACCTGCCCCTACACCTCCCCCCTCACCTCCATCCCAGGCCCTAAGAAGACCTTCCACATCAAACAGATGTTCACCTGCACATCTGCTAATGTGGTATACTGTATCCGCTGTTCCCGTTGTGGCCTCCTCTGCATCGGGGAAACCAAGTGGAGGCTTGGGGACCGCTTTGTGGAACACCGCTCGATTTGCACCAAACAACTGCACCTCCCAGTCATGAACCATTTCAACTCCCCCTCCCACTCCTTGGACGACATGTCCATCCTGGGCCTCGTGCACTGCCACAACGATGCCACCCGAAGGTTGCAGGAACAGAACCTCATATTTTGCATGGGAACCCTGCAGCCCAATGGTATCAATGTGGACTTCACAAGCTTCAAAATCTCCCCTCCCCCGACCGCATCCCAAAACCAGCCCAGCTCACACCCGCCTCCCTAACCTGTCCTCCCACCTATCCCCTCCTCCCACCTCAGGCCCCACTCCCATCTCCTACCTACTAACCTCAACCCACCTCCTTGACCTGTCCGTCCTCCCTGGACAGACCCATCCCCTCCCTAACTCCCCACCTACACTCCCCTTTACTGTCTCCAACCCCACCTCTTTGACCTGTCTGTCTCCTCTCCACCCATCTTCTCCTTTATCCATCTTCTATCCGCCTCCCCCTCTCTCCCTATTTATTTCAGAATCCCCTTTCCCTCCCCCATTTCTGAAGAAGGGCCCGGACACGAAACGTCAGCCTTCCTGCTCCTCTGATGCTGCTTGGCCTGCTGTGTTCATCCAGCTCTACACCTTGTTATCTCAGATTCTCCAGCATCTGCAGTTCTTCCCTCTAGTCTGTTTGTTTCAAGGCTGTAACTATGGTCACTGCGGTTATTACCGTAAGTACTTAGCTGTGGCTCTTGTATTTTTCAAACATTAAAGGCGAACTCATTGACTTGCTGTTGCATGTTCAGTCATCTAGGTGATGGGTCATGAATATCAGCGCCTGAAAAATCTGACCTCTCCCATTGGGTAGTTGCAGCTTATCTCCACCTAGTGGTAGTCATGTGCAGCTGCAGACATGGCTGAATGCTTGAAACTGTTCATATGAAATTGCACCAACATCATCCTCTGAAGGGTATTGATGCCCAAAGGAAGCATTGTAATTGTAATATAGGATCATAGTTTAAAGCAATTATGTCTCTTATACCGGAATTCCCTGCAATGTCCCTGTAGCTTCAGGTGCGCTTCACCTGACAAAGGAGCAGCTTTCCGAGAGCTTTTGATTTCAAATAAACGTGTTGGACTGTAACCTGGTGTTGTGTGACTTATGGCCTTGTGGCTTCCAGTTCAACATTCGAGGCCTTGGAGGCTTCACACCTTTTTAAGTTTCAAGGGACTGACCTGGAATTCTTTGAATTATTTGACCTTTTGTGGTTGACTGTATTGAATCAACATGAGCAGTTACACTACCTCTGGGAGTGTATTGTAAGATGCTGTGGTCATTCTGAAAAAGACAGATTAACTGTCTTTACAAGATAATTAGACAGTCATGATAGATGGCAGCAATTCAAGAAGGGGACTGTGTAGTTTAAGTAAACACTCTGCTTTCTACCGTGACTTTCCAGGCGCGGTACTATTGCAAGGCATGTTTTGTGGCATGTTTATCTCCATCCAGTTGTCAACTTGTCCCTTGTGTGAGACCTTCAGAATGACCAAGGATAAGTACCAAGGGAAGTAATGTGCACACTATGGAACTTATCCCTCTTCTAGTGTTTTCATTACATCTTTTGATTGCCTGCTGCTTTCATTTTTATTCCCTTTAGAAAAGGTAGACCACAACAAAACGAATTTAGGCACCACAAAGGAGAAGACTAAATAAATTCTAACTTGTCTACTGTGGTCTTGTGATCTATTAATCCAATCCTAGTTCTTCGAAAGAGACTATAATCCCCACCAGAATATTAAAATGACTTAGCTGGCTTTGTTTCCACTGCTTTATCTGAGACTGCATGGCTCGTATAAATTCTTTGTATTTTTGATGTCACAAAGTTCTTCTACATAATTAGTCATTACCCACCATTAGTTGTTTTTTATTGTTCTCTCTCAAAAAGTAGCTTTGCTCTATGGGCTGTTGGGATCAGAGTTTGGCATTATCCCTATCCTTTGGAGAAAGAAAAGAAGGATGTTTGTGGTTGCCACCCTTCTTTACGTAGCTTCTACACCAGTAAAAACAAAGACCAGGGAGCATAGTGTCAGGATAAGGGGTTGGCCATTTACAAGGGACAAGAGAAGGTTTTTCACCCTCTTTCATCTTTGGCATTCTCTATCCCAGAGGCATGTGTGTAGTGAATCACTTGTTATTTTCAAGCCTGGTATAAATTCCTGAGGGGATCAAGAGTTATGGGAAGTGGGTGAGACAGTAGAGTCGAAGGAGATTATTGTGTTGAATAATTGAGCAAGTTTGAGAGGCAGAATAACCAATTCCCCCTAAGTTTATAATTTGCTCATATTTACTCTGCTTTGTCGCTTATCTCCAAGGGGTCGTACCACCTATCAGGCAGTTGTGACGTTGCTTCGATTTATTGCATGGAATTACTGTGCGGACGTTCACATGGAGGTTATGAAAATGACACAGCATCCTGAGAACTGGACCATCCAAGTACGCTGGAGAATTACAGGACTCCCGCTCCATGTTTTGATATTGAAATTTTACAAGAAAGACAAGACTGAACTCTATAGGTGAGATTATGGGCTGCAGCTGCCTAATATTCACTGGGGGAGTTGGTTGCAGTGCGTCCTTTGGCTCCAGCATTTAAAAGAATTTTAGACCTGTCACAAGAGAATTCAGAACAAACAAAAACAAATTGCTAGAGAAACTTGGCATGTGTGTCAGCCTCTGAAGAGAAAACAGAGGGTCACTCGATTCAAAATATTAACTGTTTTATTTCTGCAAATGCTGTTGGATCCACTCAGTTTCTTCGACACTTTTTGTTTCAGACCATAGAATCCCTATGGAAATGGGCCCTTCGGCCCAACAAGTTCCACTGACCCTCCGAAGAGCATCTCACCACATCCTGTAACCCTGCATTTCCCATGGCTAACACACCTCATCTACACATCCCTGAACACGATGGGCAATTTAGCATGGCCAGTCCGCCTGACCCCACGTCTTTGGACTGTGGGAGGAAACTGGAAACCCTCGTAGACACGGAGAATGTGTGGAATTTGCACAGACAGTCGCCCGAAGAATTGAACCTATCTCCAGCATCTGCAGTTATTTGTTTTATGCTAGAGCATTTGGTCATGGTTTGAAATGATCCCAGGATCCTTATTTAGTGTCAGGGCAAACTGTGGACTAACTGGCAATGATCTGTTAGTGGCCGCTTAAAAACATGCAAGGATTCAAATTTTAGTAGAGTTGTTGAGGATATCTTCACTTGGGCGATAAGGCAAAGCTAGGATCTACGAAGATAATACGATTGTTAAGATGTTTGCTGTCGAATTCAAGAGCAATGTCTCTTTATTGTGGTGTGAATGTGGAAATTGCTACCATGAGTTGTAGTTGGAATAATCAGCGATGCACATATGAAGAAGCTAGTTAAGTAAACTGGGGAGTCAAAAACAGAAGAATCTGTTGATCAAATTGGACAAAGGAATGGGCAGAGGCTGCTGTAGTGCAGTGGCTGTTTTTGGACCAAATGACCAGTTTGTGAGCTGTAAATTAACATAATTTGAGTCATGAGAATTTTAGTACAGCATCCATTATCACTTGTGTTAATGGCTGAGTGCATCACTCACCCTCTGGTTCCATACAGTATTGATTCCCAAACTTTTAAGTTTCAGCCAAGTTCCTGGTGTAACAAAGGATAGGTCTGGCCATATTTGACTGTGCTGTACCATCTATCCGTTGCGAAGAGGATCAGTTACTAAAACACCTTTGATCATGTGTCCATCAGACAACAGTCAGTGTGTAATATGCTTAAGAACTTGTGGATAAAAGAGAAAAACCATAGAAATGGTATAGCACAAAGGTGGCCATTTGACCCATCTTGTCTATCTGACCCAAAGACACCCAGGTGCCCTTCCAACTTGGGCAGCAAATACCAGACACCCAGCAACAGCTGGGTAAAAAGTTTTCTCCTCCTGTCTGTCTCTACCCCCCAGCCCCTCCATCTGTCCTCACAGCTACAGTTCTTCAGCCCTGGCAACATTTTAGTAAATCTTTTCTGCACCATCTCCAGAGCAATTAAATCCTTTCTGTAATGTGGTGACCAGATGTGCACAATATACTCCAGTTGTGGCCTCACCGGCGTCTGATAGTTTCATCATTGTATCTCTACTTGTGTATTCTATACCTCTGCTAATGAGGGTATGCCTCCTTTACAACCTTAGCTACCTATTCTGCTGTCTTTAAAGATGTACTTGCACATCAAGATCTCTTACTCCATCAACCCCTCTCATATATTCCCACTTTTATTGTGGATTCCCTAAATCCCTTGCCTCACACTTACCAGAGTTGAACTCCATCTGCCAGTTTCCTCCACCACCCATCTATATCATTTTGGAGATTACAGCTGTCCACCATGCAGCCAATTTTTTTGTTGGCAGATTTCCCAATTGTGCCCCCTGCATTCAAGTAAAAGTCATTCATGTATAAAACAAACAGGGGTCCCAACACCGAGCCCTGCGGAACACACCACTTGAAAGTGCTTTACAATTGTAAGGGCAACCATTGACCATTACCTTCTTGTTTCCTGTTACTAAACCAATTCTGCACATTACCCTGTATCCCATGGGCTTTATGTTTTTAACCAGCCTGCCATGTGGGACCTTGTCAAATGCCTTACCAAAACCCATATAGACAACATCCACTGCAATACCCTCCTCAATCTTCCTTGTCACTTCCTCAAAGAATTCAATCAAATGTGTAAGGCATGATCTTCCCTTAACAAATCCATGCTAACTATCCCATGCCTTTTGAAGTGACAGTTTATCCAATCTCTCAGGATTGGTTCTAGCAATTTAACCATGCTATATCTTGTCTAAAGTCATTTAACAGCATCTCTCCGCTCCAGAACTTAGAAATGAGCACCAGTTGGCTGGTGGTGAGAAGATCCCTTCTTTTCAGATCTTTCTTCTATGTTCAGAGTTTCACTCTTGCCACACACAACCTATGAGACAGCTGTGGTGAGGAAGGTATTGTTTTCTGTGTATGGAATCTACCCTTATAAAGAAAGTTTGGAGAGAGATGCAGTTGTCAAGGTTCATCCCAAGCAGCTCTGGGACACAGGTCCCTGCTCTATGGGCTGTTCCCATTGACACAAACTGAGTTAAATGACAGCTGTGCCTGGATGTGAAAATGATCAAAATGGTGAAAGACACTCTTTGAAATTTGGTGGACTTTGAGTGCAAAAAAAATGTCCTCCAAGTGTTGTAGACTTGCATGTTCCAAGGTCCAGGACTATTTTGTGGGTCTTACTAAAACTTTGAATAACAATATAGCAGCACATGTCGAAGTCTTTTCAACCACTGTACTGGGGGGCTAGAGAACGTAGAGCACCTTTGTCTGTGTACCTTACAAAGAATCTACCTTGTAAACCAAGAGTATTAAAAACGTTTTGAGGTACATTAGTGTAGCATGGTGTGTCGAGGAATTGTTTTGTACTTCCTGTAACTTAATTTGAATTGTTTTTACTCTCGGGCAGCATACCTGACACGGATTGCACCCTATAGATATCTAGTCTGCTGAATCTGAGACAAATTGAATTTTGTGGCAAATTCTGTAACATTCAAGTTGAAGTAGCTTAATAATAGTTTTACAAATTTTATGAACATAATTTTGCGAAAAACATACAGGCAACAAATGTCGGCCTTACCATGATGCGCTCACCCCATTGAAAGGATAAAGATTTTTTGAAAATAAAGTAACTGATTCCTGTTAGTGTGTGAACGCTGTTGAAGCTATGCAGCTATTCCATGATTTGCTTCAAAGTTAATATGCGTATTGCTTTTCTTTCCTTCCCAATGCTGCAGAACCTATGATGCATATTCCACATTTTATTTGGGACCTGATGGACTTATTCATCGACACAAGGTCGACAAGGTCAGTTTCTGAGAGTAGTTGTCCTGAGTATTACTAGACGTGTTCTGTTCTTCCAGAGGAATCCTAGAGCTGGAATTTCTTTGCACCTAAGCTTACAAAGCAGGAAAGTCTTCTGGAAGAAAAGAGTCATAGCCTCTTATGTGGTCAAGCTATCTGCACTTCTGTGCTAATTTTGTAGCTTTACTTTTTTTGGTCGTGAATTACAATTTGTGGGGAGTCCCATAAAGTGCACGTAAAAGGTGATCATCCAAAAGTCAAACTGGGAATTTGGTGCAGGTCTTTTTACCCAGAGTGGTTAAAAATATGGGACTACTCACAACATGAGGCATATAGTATAGATACGTTTAAGGGGAATCTGTAAAAGCACATGAAGGAAAAAGTAATAGAAGGTAATAGTTATTGAGGTTAGATGAAGAGGGGTGAAAACAGAGCGGTGTGTTGAATCAACAATGGCACAGACAATTTGGGCTGAATGGCTGTTTGTATACAGTCTATTCTTCGCGAATGGGTGGTTTAGGGATATAAGGAAGAATGACCACTTGTCTTCCCCTCTTCCTCCCAAAACCTAACATTAAATTTGTGAGCACATTACAATGGAGAGGGGCTAAGACTATTTCAAATTCCATCTCTTGTCTTTTGCGGCTGAAGGGATCTTTGCAAAGCTTCAGTACGAAATCTGATTTTGGGTATGGTTGTCATGTTGAATGTCCTATAGTAGCAACCAAGTGCAGTTCATTGTACCCAGTAGTGAGGCAGTGTTCAAACGATGGACTTTGCCCCAAACCTTTAGAGAACAGGAGGTCATGCGTTGAAACTGACTGCTCCTTTTCTCCATGTCTGCTCCCTTAAGGCAGTGGGCCATCCCTCATCTCTATGCAGTATCCACATAGCCATGACATCCTGCACCCTCAAAAGTCAATCGTCCATTTTTTGCAATTCATGAGATGTGAGTTGTCTTGGGTAGATCAGCATTTATTACTGATTCCTGTTGACCCTTGAGGGAGGTGGTGAGAGCAGCCTCTTGTTTTAATCTGTAGGTGAATGCCATTCTGTTTGACTTCTTCCACACTTTCTTTTCAGCAGTTCCACAGCAGACAAGCTGGAGTGAAACAATTGAGGATTGCAATTTCCATTATTGCACCAGCAGCTTCTATTGGCGGCCAGTACAAGTGGTTGTCACGCTGCCTCTCAGCTTGGCTCAGTTCCAATCAGAAGTCATTGGAGGGTTGCAGGTCTTAGAAACTCGTTTTCCTCAAAAGGCAGTGGAAGCAGTCTGAACATTTTTCAGGCACAGATGGTTTGATTCTTGATAAGCAAGAGTGAAATGTTATCACATGAGGGGGCATTAGCTCAGCCATGATACTAAGGGACTGTCTGGCCTATTCCTGCTCCCAGTTCATATGTTGGAACCTTGAACCTGTCCTAAGCTGACACTCGAGTGCAGCACTCCCAGATATCTGTAGTGCTGAGAAATCACAAATTCTAGTGCAGGTGCAGAGATGCTATTCAACTGAAAAGTAATTTATCCAGTTATTCACTTCATAGCTGCTCATGGCATCTCTCGGTGATAAAAGGGCAAGACATTTGCTTCCATATTTCCTAACAATAGTTATTTGTACACTGGAGTGAAGTCGTTCAAATATAGTTAAAAAACAGCAATAAAACCAAAAACACCTAAAAATGAAAAATAATAAATTAAAATGTAAAAACAAATTTTTGCTAAAACCGTAAATTGATGAATATAAAAAAGTTAAACAAAGGAATTCTTCTAAATTTTTTAAAATTGGCTTTATATTGTGCCTGTGCATGCACAGTCTTGGGGAAAAAAGTTGGTGGTGAACATGTGCGGTTGGCTTGATCATAGGATTGGTGTCAGCAGGCATGAAGTTTTTCTCAAATGAATGAATTGGTAATTACATCCATTTCTCAACTTAACACATTATAGGAGGGACGTGATAGCACTGGAGAGGGCGCAGAGGAGATTTTCCAGGATGTTGCTTGTGCTGAAGCATTTCAATTACTAAGAGAACTTGGATAGACACGAGTTGTTTACCTTAGAGCAGAGGAGACTGAGGAGGGGAAGTGATAGGGGTGTATAAAATTCAGGGCTATAGAGTGTGGATAGGAAGAAACATTTCCCTTTGATAGAAGGATTAATGACCAGAGGACATAGACTAAGGTAAGGGGTGGCAGGTTTAGAGGAGGTGTGGAGAAACATTTTTAACCTGGAAAGTGGTAGCAATTTCGAACTTGCTGCCGGTAGGTTCGGTAGAGGCAGAAATGTTCATAAAATTGAAGAAGTGTTTAGGTCCTTCTTTGGGGCAGCAAGGTGGCTGCCTCACAGCACCAGGGATCTGGGTTCGATTCTAGCCTCAAGGCAACTGTCTGTGTGGAGTTTGCACGTTTCTTCTCGTGGTCTGCGTGAGTTTCCTCTCTGACCGAAGATGTGCAGGTTGGGTGGATTGGCCATGCTTAATCGCCCCATAGTGCCCAGGGATGTGCAGGCTAGGTGGGTTAGCCGTGGGAAATGCAGGGTTACAGGGATGGGGCTGAGTGGCCTGCTTCCAGACTCTATGGATTCTATGAACCAGTTTTCTAACCGTGATGCTGGTGTGACCTATTTTCGTTGATTTCTCTCCCGGCTTTTTCTATGCCCACAGATGATGCCAACCCAACCCCCACTTACCAAGGTGAAGACGCTGCTTGTCGGGGCACTGGTTGCCCTTGGATTGGAAGAACACCGCCCGGCGTTGAATCTGCTGCTTGCTCAGTCTGCTGGCAAAGTGGGGGAGAAGCACTGCTGAGAGCGCCAAAGAGGGAGGGGTGGGGGGAGGGTTTTACGCTGTCAGGAACACACATGCCGAGTTTGCTCGCTCGCCTGCTGGCAGTTGCTGCGCCTTGCACATATCCAGGTTCCTTCAGTCGTCGCATGTCTTGATGCATTTGGAAACCCCACCCACTTGCGCCCCTCTGTTTCGCTCCCTTTGAACTGCTTTTGCACTGTACATAAAGTGGTGGAGAGAATGCAGCATTAGGCTGCCTGGAGAGTACATACTGTCAGGTGAGCCATGTGTAAAATAGTATGACCATGGTACATTGTGTCTCTTAATTTCCGTCCGAATGATTGTGAACTCTAGTAGAGTAAGGCATCAGTGGGTTGAATTTTCTTTGTTGTTGGGAGCATATTTCTAGTTGTCCAGATGACCATATCAAAAATGTCGGGTTTGTTCTGTTCCTCGGGCTGTTGGATTTCCTGGAATGCATGAGGGACAAAGTGTGTGGCCTTCCCAGAGCCTATTCATGGCTCCCCCCATCACCTAACTTTGCAGATAGAAAAAAAATCAATGGGATTCGATGGAGGGCTTGCGGAGCAGGAGCGGGAGGTGGGTTTGGGGAAGGTAGAGGGTGGAGAACTGGGGTGTGGAATGCTGCATTTCCTCTTGATTGCTTTTGCCACGGCCCCAGCTGCAGCAGGCGGAAAACTTGCCTCACTGAATCTGAATTCTGCTTCCTCCCATCCGCAATTCGCCTGCAGTCTCTGCTGCATTCTGGTTCATATTGGAAAATAAACCCGATGCAAAGGCAAATTATTGCAGATGCTAGAGATCTAGACAAGCAAGACATACTCAGTGGTTCAGGTGGCATTTAGAGGGAGAGCACTTGACCCTTCAGCTCAGTGGCCTTTTATCAGGGAGGAAGACTTTTTTATTGTTCCTGGGTATTCTTGATTGCCTGGGGTAGAAGAGGATAAACATTCCTGCCTGTAAAGAAGCCAGTTTGTGATTCTCCATCAGCTTTCTCTCTCTGTCTTTGTCTTCCCAAAGATGCTGCTTGACCTGCTGAGTATTTCCAGAATTTTCTCTAATTGTCCCTTTAATTACATGACTGCATTGAGGGGTACTATTATGAGAATAGAAGAAGCACACAGATTCATTGCTTAGTAATTTCTTAATGGGCAGCAATCCTTGTTTTTATTTTTCACTTATTCATATCACTGAATGGATCAGTTTGGTTTAGTTGTGGTCCCAGCCTTTGAACATGTAACCTCAGCCTGATACTGCAGCGTAATTTACTGAGAATATTGCTTCATTAATGTTGGTTAAATTGCACGTTCTAGTTCAGGTGGCTGTCAAAGACCCTGAGAGACTGGGAAGGCTCCCTGAATTGAAAAACAAAAATTGATCATTCATTTCATTACTGTTAGTGGAATCCCATTGTGTGCAAATTTGCAAGTGTATGAGCAACACTTGTTGCACTTAGGATTTTAGCCATAGATTCAAATTCCATTAGAGACAGGCAGGAGCTGAGGCCCCCAGAGCATTATTGAGACAATACTGTTATTGGAGAGTGCAAGGACCTTTTGGGTACAATGTTAAACAAAGGTCTATCTGTCCACTTGGGTAGGTCCTGTCATGTCACTGAGAAGAGAAGCATGGGGGTTCTCCTTGCTGTTCTTAGGGAGTGTTTTTTTTTTCCCCTCGTCTGATTGCACTGAACAAATTATCTGGCTGCACTCTATCTTTATTTTAAAGATTTTGCTGTGCCCAAATTGGCTGCCAGCTTTCCATACATTGAAGCATTATCCATGGGCAGTTAAAGCACTTCGTGTTGTCCTGAGGATGTAAAAGTTGCATCTTCTACTTCTCAGCCACACTTGCACTTCCATTTGATTTTGTCCGTTGGGGTTGTCGTTTGTTCTTGGACTGCTTTATGAAAGGGATGGGTTTTGCTTAATGCAGTGCTGTGGGGGATTTGAGAATATACAGCATAATTGAACCTTTTTAATGTAGACCTAATTTAAAATTCTAGTAGAAGATAAGGCAAAATTGAGCAAATGTCCACTATGTATATGCTGCAATATGTTCCAGTGTTTCAACACTATTCAGCCGTGCTGTCTTAGCGGTGTTCAGGAGCTGATTCCTTGTCAACCAGAGATGAGAGGTTTAATTGTTTAATTAAAAAACCCCCACTGTTTTCTTAAATATCACAGCAGCTCGATGTTTGTCTGAAACAGAATCATCTTAGGCCATGATACTTTTCACTCTGTCCTGTCAATTCTGTACTGACAGTGTGGCCTTGACTGAATCTGTAATCTGTCTTCAGAATGTTGACTGAACTGATTCTGTGCACCAGAAAGTAAATAACATGTAAGTGTCTTGGCAAAAAAAAATTGTTGCCATTTGGAATAGAGCAAGCAAGTTATTTTCCTCCCTTTTCCACATCAAAGTACTTTAGCCAATTTGACAAGGAACAAAACTTCTATATCTAAATAGTTAACAGATTTGTTTAAGAAGAATTGCTCCTGAGGTCCTAGTGTGTTACTGACTGGGAAGCTAGTCTCTGTAGTCTTCCTGATGCAAACCCACAGCTGGGTCAGAGAGAAATCCTGCAACTTTTTCTTGAAGGTGTCACCTACTTGGCTGTATGGCTTTCAGTGAGTTGAACTGGGTGGTGATAATGATGGGAATATTTGATAGCAATGAGGGAGTGTTAAGGACATCATAGCTGAAGCTACCTGACAAATTATTCACTTTACACTGTTTCCAACTGTTGGCTTCAGAGCTGAGGCCCTACCATATACCATTGGCGGTGAATGGGAGTGTGTGTTATGGTTGACAATTAACCCCTTCCCTTCCCCACTCCCCAAGCTAGTCCAGAAACGTGGAGGCTTAACATACCTCATCTTGTACATCCAGTTGAGATTAGCTAACAGCTCAGTAAGATTTGTCCTTAATTGTGTTCAAGTATTTGTCTACTAGACATAAATGGATAAATTGTGTTTTTGTTGACCACTTATGGCTGTGTTTTTTTCCTATATACATGTTTCTTGAGAGCTGATCTGAATATATAAAAGAATATATTGGAGGGAGCGCAAGGTGTGAATTACCTTGGAGGAACCGATTTAGATATTGGCCTTAAACATGTTTTACTCTGCCTAAATGCTAATTGCTAAGTTGGCAATTCTGTCCAGTGTTGATCCTAATGGGCTATCTTTCTGTGAGGAAAAGTGCATGGCTTTTGTCTTGATGTCTGTTTCTGTGCTGGGATTAGGTTGATTATGGGCAATTGGATGAAGTATATTCATGCACTGTATTCCTGAGCAAAGAACACTTCATTAATTTATCATTTTGGCTGGAATGGTGGGTGGTGGCTTCCATTTGAACACTCCTGATGTTTTGCAATTCTCTTCCTGTAGCTGCATTCTAACCGTAATTGGATCCTTTATAGGAAAGGGTGAGGCAGTATTTATCTCTGCCTCAAACATCCAACTATTTACTTGGCTGCTGAATGCATTATCTAAAAGAGTATTTCAGAATTACAAGGTCGCAAAATATTTCTGTTTACGCCTGTCGCTTTGTTGCGGTTGAACTGAATTTCACTTAATTTCTGTGCTAGCGTTTCTTTTAAAAAAAATCTACTTCCTTCTAGTTACATGCCTTGACTCTCAACCAGACTGAATTGAATCCCTTAAGCTCGAATCCCTTGCCAAGTTTAGATGGAATTGAAAATTACAAATGTGAAGTGGCTTTCAATGTTCCCTGAAGCCGAATAAAAGCATTAAGACAGTAGGCAGTGTCACTAGTCTTTTCTTGCTGAGTGAGTACTCCCAATTGTCATTAAGTTGAATTGATACACAACTGTTGGATTTTATAGGCTATCTATTGTTTGTTGAACATTTTCTACTTTGTGGGTCTGTGCAGAATACACAGTTCCTGTGCATTCTCAGGAATCGCTGTGGAAATCTTGTTTCCCTTGCCTCCCATCTGTTTAATCTCAGTGATATAGAGTGAGGTGCCTGTACTGATCAGACCTGAGGGACTCTTTGTTGTAGTTATAAAAATCTTTTTCACTGCTTAGAGCTTGATTGATCAAGAGCCTTACGGTAGAGGAATCATGCTCCCTATATTAATCATAATGGCTTAGAGTTTGCAGTTGTAATGATAGCAAACCTGTGGACATTTACCCTTGTTACTAAAACTGACAGCTGTTTCTAGAGACCCCGTATGGACAGAATAATGTGGAAATTCAGAAGTTACTGTCAATGATTTTACACTTCCTCCCAGGCTGTGCAGTTTAAGTCTCACCCAGACTAAAATCAAGGAAAAAAAAAACTTGCAATGTGTCTCTTTATACTACTAGTCTTGTTTAAAAAATACCCTTGGTGTTACTGAGTTTCTAATGGCCTATGAAGTTCATAATTACACTTGAACTGTTTCGTTAAATCTGAAAATAATACTATTTGTGACGTGTAAAATTTATCCATTATGATTTTAAAAAATCAAATAATCAGTTTCTATCTTGACCTCACGATCAGTTGCTGTACAAATAATTGATCAAAATGAACAACCTAGTGCATATTGCTTACTGGTTTGCTGTCTGTGAATAATTCAGTTTGCTTGGCTGATTACTTTGGTTTGGCTCCAGGTTCACAGTGATATTGGGAAAAGGGAAATCTGCTGTCCGCACATTGTGAGATTTTTGTGAGCAGCCGCTTTTAAAATCAGCGGCAAGGAGAGTCTCTGCACCCATGATCGTTAAAACAGGCCATTGAAACCCCAGTGGAGGGAGTAGTGCATTTGCAGCAGGGGTTTCAGTAAAACAATTAATTTCAATGATTAAAGATAGTTGTTTTGAATTTTTTAAAACCTTTGATCTGACACTGTTTATTGAGTTCTCCTTTGGTGGCTAATTTTCACCCAACTGCATTTGTGTTTTCTCGAGAACGTGCAAAGACTGTCGGCTTGTTTTTGCATTTCCTCAGGTATGTGAATGGGCTCATGCCCTGTCAATTATTTTCTCTGAATCTGCTAACTTTGGTTTTGTGCAGGATGCTGGTATTCTCGCGTTTTTTTTTTCCTATAATTGGTTAATTTTAGCCACTCATTCCCATTGCTATTTCTCTCCAGCTCTGCTGATCCCTGGACCTTGTGCTTAGTGCATTTCTGCCAGTGCAACAACATCCTGGTCATCTGTGTCTCCAGTATCCTCTCTCTGATTTAAGCACTTAACCATGGCAAAGTTGTTTTTCATAGGAGCTCACAGATTTATGTTGGTGTAGTAGCTTCCCATATTGAGCTGTACCCAAGGTTGGTTTTCTGCCGAAACTAAATGGACCAATGTTGAGGTAACTCCACTGTCTAATCATTATGAAGTAGATACAGGATTGGATGTAGCTGTCATTTGCAGAGGACTATTATTGTCCGCCACCTAATGTGTCTGTGAATCTCTGGCATTGTTTGCAATTGCTGCAATCATTTATACAGATGATGCTTTCACAGTGGTGGTGGTTGGGTAGGTAGTGAAATCCAGTATGGTGTACAACACTGCAGAAGCCAAGTCTGGATGATGTGGCTTCAGAGCTCAACTTGAAGATGCTGGTATTCCCAAGAGTTCATGGTTTTTCCTATATTGGTTAATTTTGGCCATTCATTCCCATTGCTATTTCTGTCCAGCTCTGCTGACCACCTACTGGAATACATTCTCCAGAAATCACCTCTCCCTTCAAAAGCTGTTTTGCTGTTAGGAACGTCAAGTGGAGGGAGGTCATAGCAATTTTACAATGGTGTTGCTACTGGTGACCAGAGCATTAATTCTCTCCTGTATTGTGGAGGGTTTTGCTGACCAGGCTAGCATCAATTGCCCAGTTGCCTATAAAGTGGAGGTGACGAGCCCCTGTTGTGAAACACTGTGGATTACATGGCGAAGGTGCTGCCACAATGGTGGCACTGAGGTCCATTTTTAGTGGGGAAAAGGGATATTGTCCTGATAATTTCAAAGACTGGCTGACAAAATACCATTCAAGACAGTTTCCAGTAGCACTTGAAGTAACAAAAGAAAATGCAGGCTTGTCACCAAAACAAAGACAGGTTCTTGTTTCATTGCTAGACTCCTGCTTAGAACTGAGTCATTGAAGGGCAAGCCCCAGAAAGTAATGCAACCTTTCCCTTGAATGAGGCTGGAAGGCTTTGGCCAGTGCTTTACTATTTGGGCCGGATTTCTCCTGTTTGCTGGAGGACTGAAAGTGCAAAAATTATCTGAAAAGTACAAAGAACATGTTTTATGAACCTGCTGTGTTGGAAAAGCTAGATTTTTTTGATTAAGATTGGTTAAAATAATCATATGTGAAATTAATCTGAAGTGGTCAGTGCTGAAGAACTGTTGTCACTTGCTCTCGTTCAGAATTCCAATTCAGAATTTAAAAAAAGGATTTCGGCTTTAATCTGAAATCAGTAAAACCATGCTGGAAATGCTAAGTAGGTCTGCTAGCATCTCTAAAGAAGGAAACAACTGATGTTTCAGGTTAGTGACCTGTCATGACTTTAGCTTGTTGGATTGGCACCGTGCACTTAACCCACTGCTTCACTTTAGATACCAAACAAAAGAGTCACTGATCTTCAGCAATATGTCACGTCTGTGGGGCTTGGCATTGTGACTCACGTAGATCAAAGCCTGGAGACTAAAGTTTGGAAAAGTAAATTTTTTAGGAAAGAAAATGGCAAACAGAAGAAATTTGAACTGAATAGGAAAGCACTGGCCAAAGCCGTCCAGGTTCTTACAAGGAAAAAGGTTGCATGACTTTCTATTGTCTGCCTGACAATAGGGTACTATTGATGTCAGTAGAGCTGTTGTGGAGGAGGTAGAAGTTGCTCAGCTCCAAAGCTGTATAGAGCTGCTCACGCTGGAATTCATGCTTATTTATCAGAAAGCAAATATGGAATACTTGATTTGATTTTGATTTGAATGATTTGTTGTCGCGTGTATTCGATGTAAAAATACAGTGAAAAGTGTGTACCTTTGCCGTACATAGGTGGCGCCATTCACATTAACTTAATAAGATAAGCAAAAGATAACTTGAGAGAGTTCAACTTTCCACTGCCATAGCCCCACTCGGGGCTTTCCAGCCCTTTTCATACCTCCGCCACAGTCCGTCTCGGCAGCCTCACTGGCCCGCGCATTCAGCTCCTGCCACATGGTTCCCAGTCGTGACTCAGCTCCTTCCCGACTCCTTGGGTAGTTAAAAGGGGTCGGGAGAGACCGAATCTCTACCTCTGTAGTAAGAAGAGAGGGCAGATTAAAGGACAGAGAAAGAGAACTGGCGAGCAGAATGGAGCTCTGAATGGAATAACTTACCCTGCCTTATCACATGTTCAATCAAAGTCTGTGTCTCCACATGTTGAGTGGCGCATGGTTTCCTCTCCTGGTGAATAAAGCCTCACAGCCTTGGGTAGGGTGGTACCTGTTGCCTCTATGGACAAAAATTAGCTGTGTTCTGCATGGATGCATGCTTTGTTACTGTTGTGAACTGATTATGGCCTTCTCTGTAATTATAAACTGTATATAGTTCTACATAATATTTAAGAAAATAAAACTAATAACAAATTTCTGACTTAATCTCTGCTTTCCTTTCGTTCATTATTGCGTGAAGGTGGTGGTAATGTCACTGGATTAGTAATCTAAAGGCCCAGATTAATCCTGTTGGCATATAGGTTCAAATTCCACTAGTGGAATTTACATTCCATTAATCTAAACTATAAAACCCATTCCATCTACTGGTGACCATGAAACGATTATCAGTAGTTGATAGAGGTCTACAAAATTTGAGAGGCATAGATAGAGTGGATAGTCTGAGGCTTTTTCCCAGAGTGGAAATGTCAACTACAAGAGGGCACAGGTTCAGGGTGAGTGGGGAAAATCCACGGAGAAGTGCAGGGAAATTTTTTCACAGGGTTGTGGGTGCCTGGAAAGCTTTGCCGGTGGAAGTGGTTGTAACCCTAACCCTAACCCTAACCCTATCGCAGGCACATTAAGAACATTTTAAGGAGTATCTCGTTAGTCAGATGAACGGAGGCAAACAGAGGGATAGAAACCACACGTGCGCAGTAAGTAGCAGGGCCAAATGAGGAGTAGAATTGGCATAGGCCTGGTGGGCTGAAGGGTCTGTTCCTGTGCTTTACTGTATTGTATTGTACTAATTGTTGTAAAACCCATCTGGGGCACGTCTTTCCTTTAGGAAATGTCTTAATGCCTGCCTTACACTTTTATTTTGAAAGGTTATGTTTTAGCCTATCTTCTTAGTATATCTTGAAGGGGTTTGCTCTGATCCATAATAGAAAGGACATTTGGCTTCTTTGCTTGGTTTGGTCTGCATGTAAATCCAGACCCAGAGCAGAGTGGTTGACTGCTCTGAAATGGCCTGAGGAAACCACTCCATTCAAGGGGCAGTAATGGGACAACATTTGGCCTTTCCAGCAATTGCCTCCCATGAAAACAAGTTATTGCTTCATATCATTCACGCCAATGTGGAATCATGTGGACTATCGTGCACCTTTTTTGTCCCTCCCTCCCAATTTATGCCTGGTGTGTGTAGTAGTTTTTGTGAACATGCCTTGCTGCTTATCAGTTTAAATTGATATTGGTAAAACAGCATGGTGATCACAATCATTGAGCATAGAATGAACCTATTTAGCCCCATCATGCAAGTTTGGGGCTCGGAAGGAACTAATTGATTAATCTACAGTCCTCCTTTTGATCTTTCCTGATTTAAACATTTGAAAAGATTTTGAGTTAGCCAGTTTCCTTTTGAAGACTGCATGAAGTTCCTGATTCAAAAGCTATGGCCAGGCTGGGTGTTGTGACTCTATATAAAAAGCAACATTCACAGTCACTAAAATTAAGAAACTGTACCAGTGTGTTCCAAACTTGTTAATTGTGAGTTTCCGTGCCCTGGTTGGAAATTTCCAGATGGGAAATTTCCAGATGGGAATAGAAGTTATGGTGTGAAACATTAACCAATTTGATCAAAAGCCCCATATCGGGTAGCTGTTACGAGAATATTTGTTTTTGCGTGTTCTAATTTTGAGCCCACGCTCTGGACGTTAAATTATCAGGCTGAACTCAGCTAATTGTTTGGCTTCGTTGCCTCCTGATTTGGTGACTGGCAATGTTTGATGAGCTCCTCCCTTTTGAAGTTTCAATGATCCAGAGTGTTCAAGGAGAATGAGGTTGCGATACATATCCGCAATGATCGAATGGCAGAGCGTGGTCAGTAGGCCAGATGGCCTAATTCTACTCCTATATCTTATGATCTTATCTCCTGAATGTAAGGAGCTGTTGAGTTGCAGGCACCAGGATTCTCCATTTGCAAGCTTTGATCAGTAATGGAATTGCAGATTATGGCCTAACATTTTTCCCTAAAAGAACTATATATTTTTATTAAAATTTCATTTGTGGGTTGTGGACATTGCTGGGTTTGTTGCCCATTCTTAATTGCCTTTGAAGATGGTGGTGAGCTGCCTTGTTGAACAACTGCAGTCCACTTGCTGTTGGTAGACCCAAAATGCTGTTAGCAAGAGTGTTCCAGAATTTTGACGCACCTGATTAGTAACACTGTCAATACGTAAAATACGTCACGTTTTCTGTTCTTTAGCTTCTATGTCCTAGTCAGCCTAAAAAAGTGAAAAGGTAATCGTAATTGAATGGCCATGTAGGCTCAATGGGGCTGAATGGTCCTGTTTTTCCCCTAATCTGGGCAGTTTGGATTTGGGTCAGGAACTGGGCCAAGTACTCATTGGTTTGAATGTTTCCATTTCATAATTTGTTACATTCTTCTCGCGTTTAACAATGAGACGGAGCTTAGTGAGTGGTTGCCAGAAAACCAGAATGAGTTGCCTCAAAGTTAGAGAGCGAGACGGATGGAGAGTGCAAATATTGGGGTGCATGGCTGGGGGTTTGTTTAATAAAACATAATTGATAGTGATGTCAATGAAAGGAAAAGCAGGTTTGGCCTTTAGCAGACAGCTAATTCAGGAGCTTCCAAAGTTTAAAATTAAAGTTAAGGTTGCCTCCGGGATCATTTTTTGCCAGGAGCCATTTGATGAAATTAAGTATGTGTTATAATTAGACACCAGAATGGTGGATTGGTTTGCTCAATCTAGCTCCAACGAGGTGTCAGTTGTGATTCCATAACACTGATGCAGAGTCTCTCCCTCTGAATCAAAATAACATATCTCAGTGTGGGGACTTGAGCACAAAAGCTGACCTTCGGTGACCTTCACCCTTGCTGAGGGACTGCTGCATTGTTGGAATTGCCTGGGTTTGGAAGTCACATCAAATGGAGGCCATATCTACCCTTGCAGGTGGTTGGTAAAGATCGTAAGACCCTAATCTCGAGCAAAAACTGAAGCTCTCCCTTGAGTTCCACCCAATATGCATCCTTCAATGAACATCTAAAACCAATTCTCACCATACCACATTGCTGTTTGTGGAACTTGCTATGTACAAATTGCTTCTCCCATGTTGCAATTCAAAAATACTTTAATACAATGTAAAGTGCTTTAGTGTGTCTTCAGGTCACGAAAGGTGCAGTAGAAATATTATTCTTTAAGACAGATTAAAGGACAGATGCATTGGTTTTCATTGAAAATTTATTGTAACGTTCAGTTGCCAAAATTATTTCATTGTAACTTGCCTCTCGCAGCTTATGTTTCCAAAGTGACTCGAAGTGACAGCTTTTCCAAATGTTGAAATGTTCACAGTTTACTGCTAACATGACACCACCAACAACATGACTTAGTGGTTAGTGTTGTGCCTAAGCATCAGTTCAAGTTTGAATCCTGGCTCTGGACAATCCGGATTCACTCCATCGTCTTTAAGATTTTTTTAATGATCAATGAGAGGGATAGTGGATATGTGTGACCACACCCCATTCCGATGAATGGGAACCCATTAAACCCTTGCACCTCAAAGAACTATCCACCTATTGATTGGTATGATGGTTATGTCCAAAGGAAGAGCATCGATCAGGCTGCGAATGAAACACATTAAGATCCAGAGGGGTCTTGACAGGATACCTGAGGAAAGGATGTTTCCTCTTGTCGGAGAATCTAGAGCAAGAGCTCACTGCTTAAAACTAAAGAGTTGCCCGTTTGAGACAGGTGAGAATTTTTATTTTTCTGAAGGGCATGGGTCTTTGGAGTTCTTCTTCAAAAGGCTATGGAAGGAAAGAACCTGAATATTTTTAAGGCCAAGGTGGATCAATTCTTGGTGAACAAGGGGGTGAAAAGTCATCGGGTTCAGCAGGACTGTGCAGTATTCCAATCAGCCAGGATCTTGCTGCATAACAGAGTAGGCTGGAGGGGCAAAGTGGCCTACTCTTTTAGTTAATGTGTTTGTGCACTTGTTCATGTGATTCTCCCAAGGTGTTAGTATACTTTTGCGGAAGGAAACAGCAACTAACAACACTATTAAGCAATGCATTTACAGACTTGAGTCCAGTGTGAGAAAACACTGCTGTCTGCCCCATTGTAGGTGCCTGTACTCCTTGGGTACCAACAGTTGCAAAGGAATTAGAGTTAAAGGACTCTTGAAGTTTTTTTTTCCATTTCTTAATATCATATGAACTGTTGTTCTTTTTGGCGTTCCTCATCTGTGTTCTATTCCATTGTTCAAATTTCAGTATCTGAAAAAAGCAAGAGGGTATATGGATTAAAGATGGATTTAGTAAAGAGGGTTTACTCTGAGGTGGGTGTTGGGGGCATTTCCACATTTGATCATGGATGGGATGTACCTTACCAGTAACATTCCCACAGTGACATTCTACTACTGACTAGCTTCTACCAGGCTTCCTTAGCCCAGGACCTCATTTGCGGCCCAGCCAAACCTGCCTGTACAGCACCCCTAGATTGGGGGAAAGAGAGTGGTATAGCCACTGTTTTGCTACTGCTCCCTCATGACTGTGCCCACCTGCCCATACTGTGTCGGCCTGGACTGCGTCGTAGCACTGCCAGATAAACAGGCACCATTGACCGGTAACATGAGGACCAAAATCCAGCGCAAATGCCAACCTTGGAAACCCATGTCTGGGCTGTGGTACTAGTGGGAGAGGGGAATCCAGAATAATTCTATGGTCAGGGGGTTAGGATGCAGACCACATAAGCCCATCTGACAACATTACACCCACTCACTTAACTTCTCCGTGTCTGTGTGCTGCTTTGGGCTGCATCTTACCAGGAATCAGCTGCAAGTCAATTTTGCCAAGGGCTGGGGAGAGGGTTTTTCTTTCTGTGCGAGCTTTTATAAACCTCTTAAAAAGGTCACCCCTTAGCCTCCTATGCTCCAGTGGAAAAGAGTTCCTACAAGCTTCTTCAAGCTATTTACCCAACTGTCACCTAGGCACTATGGTCTCTACTTCACGCTGCTCACTGTATTTACCCACTCACCTGTTAGGTGCAAACAACTCACGGCTGGAAAGGAGGCAGCGGGACAATCTTTAAAGCCCCGACTGCCCAGATTGGCTGATAGTCTGCATCCAAACCCCCTGACCACAGCCTGGACTTACTGCTGTGCGTTTGGATTTCCACCTGGATAAGGCACCACCCCAAAGGTGAGCGCTG